AAAAGAAAATACCCCTCTCTCCAGGTCCACGCAGCCTTCCCCCTCTGGAGCCCGGGATAGCCCCGCTTTACCCTCGTTCTGGGGGCCTCCCATCTTAGCAATCGGTTTGTCCTTTGCCAAAAAGTAGACGGCCGAAGGGCGTGGTAGGGAGATCGCTTTTTGAGTCTTCGTCAGCCCAAAACCGCAGAGAAGAAATTTTTCAACTCATGACAAAAGAACTACTTCCACTGAAGTTAGCTCTAGTCAAATTCAGGGTACACCTGCTAGGCTCTAAGCCTTTTGTGATCTTTACTGATCATGCGTTGTTACGCACTGCGACACAGTCGCCTCATCTCTCTCAGAGAATGGCAAGATGGCTTTCCTTCTTTGCCGAGTATAACTTCGAGGTGAAGTACAAGCCGAGGCGGCTTAATGTAGTGGCCGATGCGCTCTCGCGCAGGCCGGACTACGAGCTAGCTCATGTCACGACGGTGACGTCGTCAGTGCCTGACTTGATACGCGGAGCGTATGCACAAGACGACATGTGCGTAGCGCTGCTACGGGCTCTGGGGAGCGAAGAGTTTAAAGACTCTGACAAGGAATTGTCTGGGCGCTTACGCGCGAGGCTGCATCGATACTCGCTCGATGGCGGCCTGCTGTACTACAGCACCGACTCTGAGGATAACCCTCGTGTAGTCGTTCCTCATGATGAGGATCTAAAGTATCGAATCCTCTATGAGGTTCATGATACGCCCGTGGGCGGGCACTTAGGTCGGGAGAAGACCTATGGCTCGGTGAGCTCGATGTACTGGTGGCCAAAAATGTATAAGTGGGTTGGCACCTATGTACGCACGTGTGAGACGTGTCAACGGACGAAGTCCGCGCCGAGCACGGCAGCGCCATTGGCGAGTTTGCCTGTCCCCAAGGGATGTTGGCAGTCCATGAGTATGGACTTTGTGTTTGGCCTTCCCAAGGACAAGGCAGGAAACACGGGTATTGTGGTCTTTGTAGACCGATTGAGCAAGATGGCTCATTTAGCGGCGGTGCCGGACACCATAGATGGTGAAGGTACAGCTTTGCTGTTTTTAGACCGAGTCTTTCGCCAACATGGCTTGCCTGAGGCAATTGTCTCGGATCGAGACCCGCGCTTCACCGCGAAGTTCTGGACGTCCCTCTTCAGAGTGCTTGGCACTCGTTTGGACATGTCCACAGCGGACCATCCGCAGACCGATGGTCAAACAGAACGCGTGAATCGCGTTGTGGAGGATATCCTCCGAAGCGTATGCGCTGAGGCGCCAAAACGCTGGAGCCAGATGCTCCCACTCGTTGAGTTCGCATTAAATAAAGCAGTGCACGCCTCGACAGGCTACACTCCGTTCTATGTGAACGGCTTGGTTAACCCTCGCGTCCCACTGACGCCGCCACGCAGTGGCTCAGGGCTTGATGGGGGAGGGATAGCCGAGCGGCTAGCTGATGTCAGCCCTGTTGCGGTTCGCAAGCAAGTCAATGACTTTGTCTCTTTGAGACTAAGCGTAATGCGTCAGGTACGCGACGCTATGGCTGAAAGCCAAGACATGCAAAAAGAACATGCAGATGCCAAAGGCAGACGCAATGAAGAAAGGTTTGAGGTCGGGGACCAAGTTTTATTAAATGCAAAAAACTTACCTACTCATGCAGTGTCTGCAGTCTTTAAGACAAAATTGAGACCACGGTTCATAGGACCGTTCAAGGTCGTGGCCAAGAAGGGCCTAGCGTATACGCTTAACCTTCCGAAGAAGATGCGCACGCATCCAGTCTTCTACGTTGGCTTACTCAAGCCGTATCAGGACCCTGCTCAGGTGAGCGCGGAGGCGTTGGCGCCAACGGTGGCTGGGCCACGACAGGCTGCGCAACAGCGGGAGGCCGAACCACGGCAGGCTGAGCGACAGCAGGTGGCGGGGCCACAAGACGCAACAGCAAGTCGATCTGACCTTGCAGCTGAGCGACTTGACGCTCAAGGTCCGCGACTCGGTTCTGAACCGACTGTGGTTGTTCAAACCAGTCCACGCGGTGGTTCGTCTCATCGAGACCATCTGCAAGGCGACTCAGAGAGTCAGTCGTATCATGGAGATACTGGTTCAGGGAACCCACACGTTGCTCCAGCGCGAACACGTCGCTGCGACTCGCGACGCGAGAGTCCAGCTGAGGCTCGGCCTCCTCCTGCTCTGCTCGACGAGCACGGCGAGCTCCACTTCCATGTGGAACGCCTGGTGGCGAGGCGCAGGCGCCAGGGTCGTACTCAGTACCTTGTGAAATGGAGGGGTTATCCTCACTCACAAAACTCTTGGGAGTTTGAGGTTGTCCTCCGGCAGGACTGCCCTGACGTCGTCGACGCTTTTGATCGGGCACACTCACTGCCCCGCCGCTACGGCGTACGACCGCGTCGTCAGGCGCCGAGCGCTTCCCGCCGCTAGAACGCGGGGATGACAGGTCGGTGGCTGAGCTCAAGCTCCGACCAGTGGCTGGAGCAGCCGGCTCATAGGAAAGAGCGGTGCTCGCAGCATGAGCAAGAGGTGGTGACGCCTCGAGGTGATGGGGACGGGGTCCCAGTGTGATCAGGCAGAGCGCAGAAGCTGCCAGGAACGGACGGTACTGACGAAGTGTGGCATCTGGCTGCTGACGGTATTGAAGGACGGTAGGTACGTGTCTCCTGTATCCGAATTCGTAGGATACGGTGAGCTCTCGGACGAGAGAAGGCCAGAGACGGCAGCACTTTAAGATTAGCGGTGTCGGCATCACTCGAAGATTAGTGGTATCCGGATCGTTGAGATTGGACTGTGTGCTGCTCGAGCTCAGTGGGGCGAGAGGTAGTGCACAAACGGACGGACGGACGGGTAGCGCCTCGGTGGACGAGAACCAAGGACAGTCGGCGAGGTGTGCAGACAGCGAGAGCTCTCCCAAGTCTTCTGAAGGTTGCGTAGTAGGGCGGAGTCTGAGTGCGTGCCGAGTCCATGTGAATAAGTGGG